CAGTCGACCCTCTTTTCTCCCCGCGGCGCTGGTAACAAGTAATTATGCGCGCACAGTGCCGCGATCTGAAGCCAAAGATCAATAGATTCTCGACATGCAGTAGAGCGTGCAGTATATTAATTCATAGCCCGCGGCTGGACGCGGCTGGACGCGGCTGGACGCGGCTGGACGCGCCGCGGAGGGGAGGCACGCCGCGTAATGGCCAGCCTGTCCGTGTTGGGAATTGCGACACTTACTTAACGCCGCCGCCGCTCCCTGTGTACCACCGTCGGCCGTGGAATAAAGCGATGGCCGAAAGAAAAACGCTGTTCGTACTAAATGCAGTTGTTTTAAAATAAGGGAAACAAACACACGCTTGGCATCGCGGTGGCGCAGCGGAGCATCGACCTCGGCGGCCCCGGCTCCTCCTCGGGGCGATAAAAACGGAATAAAATGACGCTGCGCCGCGGCCGGGCCCGCGCGGGCTTTGCTCTCGCTCTCTGTCGTCCCCTCGGCCCCGCGGCCCGTGCCTCCCGTGCCCGACATGACTCCTTGATCTCGTTTCGCGCCAGTGGGTCCAGCAGCGCTCGCCTGGCCTGGCCCGCGGGGGCGGGGGCGGCGCGAGCAGAAACCGCTGCATTTAGAAGTGGGTTTGTCGCACGAAGCACAACCGCGCGACAAGTCGATTTCGCGAGCGACCCCAGCTGCTTTAATAAAAAAAAATGTCATCGTTGCTCGACGACGACAAGAATAACAACAACGACAACAACAAACAAAAACAACGAGCAAAAACAAGAACAAACAAAAACATACAAAAAATCAGGTCAAACAGCGCAAGACGCCAGCGGAGGCGACCTGCAGGCTGGCGCTATAAAACATAAGCGACTGCCCGCGACTGCCCGTAACGGTCCAGTGGTTCTGTTGAGTTTGTTCAGCCTGACCGGCCGCTGGCTGCGCCGCTGCCCCGCCAGGGGATGGACACAGCGCGCCCGGGGGCGAGCGCGGGGCGCCCCGGGCGGGCCGTCTTAGGGCCGCCATTGTTAAGCAAAACGCATAAACCTAGAAAGCGAAACAGCCCGCCCGCCCTCTGAGTCGACCCGGCCGCGACCCGGCACCGATCGGCGTGCACACCGGTCGGCCCAGCCAGCCCCACCACCGCGCCGCTCGCGGTATGGAGGCACATTGCTCCTTGCAGCACTCGCTGCTCACCTTCTTGCCGCTGCGCCAACCACGACGGGGGCCTAAATCCTCAACTTTACGCGGCCGGGTTCGGTCCAGCTCGGTCCGGGGAAGGGGGGGAGGGAGAGGGAGCTGTGCAGAGAAGAGAAGGGACCCGTAATGATCACGGCGCTTCATTAGCACAGCATCTGGGCCGGACCGCACCGGCTGCCCGCCCGGGCCTGTTTGTGTGGAGTCCATCTCCTTGCTATCTCGCCCCCCCTCCCCCTCCTCCTCGTCGCGACGGCTGTCATGTCGCTGGTCAGCGCGGCCGCGGAGACCTGCCGGGCGGAGATGCGCAATGCGCAGGGGAGGCTAGGCTCGAGCGAGAGCGCCCGGCAGGTAGGCAGGCCCTGCGGACGGGTCTGCGCCGCGGGTTTGCCTACCCTCACCCCTCGACGCTCCGCTCCGAACCGCGCTGACAGCTCTGTCGCACGACCTCCGCTACGTAGTATGTACCGTGATACGTATATATCATTGGCACGATGTATCATTTTCTACATCGAAATATCCGAACTGTCCATGTACTTCCGAGAACTTCCGATTGACGGCAGTGTTGAAAGATTTGTTTGCCCAAGCAATTAGTAATACTTTACAGATCGGAGACTTTCCGAGCCCGGTTACGGTTGACTCACCACTGCTCGTTGTTTGTTTGCAGGCGTTATGCGTCGCGGGTGGCCGCTGCTGCCGCCGCTGCTGCTGCTGCCCGCGCTGCTGCTCGCCGTGTCGCAGGCCCCCAGGACGGCCGAGGCGCTGGCGGCGCGGCGGCGCGCCCGGAGCGCTCGCGGCCACGGCACCGGCACGGCGTCCTCGCCCTCCTTCGGCGCGTACGGCGCCTACAGCGGCGCCGCCATCAACGTGGACGAGCTGGAGCTGCTCGCGCAGGTCGCTGACGCCCCGGCGGACGATGGTGGGTATCACGCCTCTGGCCCGCCCGCCGCCCAGTTCGGCCTTATAAGGGGCCACCGCACAATTTCGATCAGCTGACCACCACGCCGGGGCTTGTTCGCCGCCGCTGTACGATGGCGCCAACCTCCGCGCGCTGCCCCGGCACTTGCTGGACGCCGCCGCGACGCCGACCACTTTTGCCGCGCATTCAATGGGGCAGAGTAATAAAAATGTAGCCGACCTGCCATAAAGATGTACTGAACTGGAACAACACTCCGGCCTTATACCCGCGCAACTCGGCAGGGCGCTGGGCGAAGTTACGCCCCGGCCGAGGGGAGGGTGGGGGGCTGACCAGCCTACCGGCGAGTGAATGGGGCTGAACTGGGGAGTAAAGGGAAAGGAGTTGACCTTCCGATCAAAGAGGAGCACGCCATACATCCCCGCAGTAGGTACTGAGCAGCAGTGAGTAGCAGTGTGGCGCTATGCGGCGTGGTCGTGCGGTGAAAGCACACCACCGACGGTACGGCAGAGAGCAGAGCCAGGAGCCAGGCAAAGCCGCACCCGCCTGACGACGTTTTGTGCGTTCTGCGTGGCGCGTTTTTGCGGTGAAAACGTTTGCGCGCCGTTTGGTCGGCGCTTTGCGGCCGTCGCCGCGTCGCGTCGGCGGCGGCGCCATTTTGATATCTTGCGTTGTCTGCCCCTGACGGGCCTCTGCGACGACAAGGGCGGGGCGGGGCGGGGCGGGGGAGGAGGGAGGCGACATGACAAACAATTATACCGGCAATTCCGTTCCACGCCGGCCTGTGGAATAACCACAGCTATCGCGCCGGGGTTGTGCCGCGCCGCGGCAGGAGCCGTACTTGGCTGGGAAGCCTTTGTGTGTCCGGGACGACTCCAGGGAATCCGGGAGGCGGGTACGGCGGCGGGGCGGCGGCAGACGACTCATAATTGTCTCTAAGCGTTTCTTCAGCGCGGGCCTAGAGAAGAGAGCTGGGCTCGACTAGCCGACGACTTTAGCGGTGGTGCGGCAAAAGAAGCCCGCGGCGCTGAGCGGCGCTGAGCGGCGCTTCCTCGTAAAACAAAAATAATAAAGTGCCCGGGAGGGAAGCTCCAGCGCGGGGCGGTAGCGTGAGCAGGCGGAGAAGGGCACCAGGGGGGCGCCACGGCGCCACTCACTTAGGCGCCTGCTGGCTGGCGACGGTCGGCCGCCAGAAAGTCATCTCATTTTTGTCGCGGTTCATAATCAGTGTTACCGGACACAGACTACACAACGGCGCTGAGGTCCCTTATTTTCCGTGTCGGTGGAATTCCCCGGTGGATATTGAAGGGTTGCGGGCTGTCTGTGTGCGGCCGCCCACGGGCGGATCGCGGCCCCACATACGACCTCCCGCATGCACACCAACGCCGGCATCACGTTGTTTGAGCGTTCTTCATCAACGCATGATTGAGGTGCTTGTCGCCGCCGACAGAGGAGAGGAGGCCGCCCAGCTGCATCACACGGGAGGCACGGGACATTTTCCTCTTTTTTACTCGCGTCCCTTTCCTGCCGCTGAGCGCCGGGGCCGGGCCACCCTACTCTTTTATACACACAATTATCATTATTATTTATTATTATTACAGCATTGCCGCGGTCCTTAATTTTTTTCCTCTCCATTCTCATTACGGTGGTGGTCATTATCGCGGGAGCCGGGACACTGCTGTGACAGTGGGCGGCGTTTGCGTGTCGGGGGATTTTCAAACGCCACATGAACTTTTTTGCGCTGGGGCACGTCGATCCGTGAGCGAAGTATCCCGCAAACGAACAGGGCACACGGCGCGCGCACCAAACTCCCACGAAATGAGTCTCCCAGTCGCACACGTTAAACTGTTGACAAGGGGAAACGAGCGGGGGCGCGGGGCTAATATGGAATTGTTTCCTTCTCTTATTTTGTAATAATAATAATCATTTAATAATCTAAAAAATTAATACGATGTCTGATTTGTCTCTATTCACAGGCAAGCTCACGTGCTTCACCTGCTCCAACGTGACGGACAACGACCAGTGCAACAGATACGCCATTGACCGGCCGTGTGAACCCGGTGAGCATCACGATGTGGATGTGGGACGCACCAGCGGCACTGCCTGGAACTGGAGCCAGACTCCAGCAGGGGCCGCAGGGAGAGCCACTCTCGCTAACTCACTGTTCTGTTCCAGGCCTGTCTTTGTGTCGCACAGACCACGTCATCGAGCGCGTGCCCAACTCGCGGGCGCGGAGCGTGCGCATCTCCAAGTCCTGCGTCAGCGCCTCGGAGTGCTCCAGGGCGGCGGTGGGGTGCAGGGGCGTGGCCGGCGACTCCACGTACCTCAGGCTCTGCACCTCGTGCTGCGACTGGAGCTACTGCAACGAGCTGGCCCCGGCGGACACCTTGACGGCAGTGTTGGCCCTCTCGAGGAGTGGAGCTGGTCTCCCCCAACCCCAGCCTTGGCCTCTGGCGCCACTCCTACTAACAGTCTTGGCGGCTGTCTTCTAGTCACGAAGGCAATCAGGCTATTACCAAAGTGCTTTACATGTGTGCGAGACCTTGTTTGGTCTGAAACCCTACAATACTGATGAATATTCTGATGATAAATTCAGCACTCAAGTCAATGTACATTTAATAAATGTGCTTACCAAAATTCATGTTATGTTCTAGAAATGTATTATTTAAATTGTGTACAAAATGTATAAAGGTATTAAAGATTTTTGTACTTGTGAGCACCAGCCTTATTTAACATCCTGCGTCATTTCAGTTGAATACTGATAGATGGAAGGTATAAAAATCAAATAGTCTAGGAGGGGTTTCCTGTATAGGATGTATTTAACTCCAAAACTTATTTACTCCAATAATTTGGACGACTTTTTAATCCTCGAGCTGGTCTGAGGAGTTTTTTCCGCTCCTCCCTATGGCGTTTCATTTGTTCCTCTTCTTTCTTGTTATTTTTGTTTGCCTGAATTAGAGAGAGTGATAAAGAATTAATTCAGTGTGGTATTGTACTCTGACAAATGCACAGAAAACAAACCTTTTTAGTGCTGAAAGTCATTTCCCTATTGCCAGAGAAGCCTATAATCCGAACAGCATTGTCCTCTTGCTGCAAGCGTTCACCCAAACTTGCTCTGGATTTGGAAAAAAATACACAATTATAATTTATATGGTCATGAAATTTAAGTTAATTATAGTTTCTGATGCAAATAGCTCACTTTAGGGAATGCTTCCGTTTCAGGCCTTGTTTAAGCCCTTTGAACTCTTCTCCCGGCCGAAGTTCAAAGAATTTCGGCTGTTTGGCATTCACATCTCCATTCCGCATGGCTAAAACCTTTTGCCGCCGTTCGTCCTCTTCCTCATCTTCCTTTTCCTGACGCTCTTTGCGAATGAGGCGGTGCTGCCTTTGAACTTCTTTAGACCATTCTTGGTCATCATCAGAACTTGACTCATCAAAATCTGAATCACCATCTGAACTTGGGCGACCCTCTGGCTCATCCTACAACAAATTAGAAATTGTGATCATTAAAAATGAAAATGAATTTAAAATAAACATGGGGAATAAAGGTTATTGTTTAACACTGTAGAAGAGTATTAGTGAAGATACATACATCAACTTGTTCAAATTGACTCTGACTCAAAATCTTATTCTGCAGTTCTTTCTTTTTGCTCTTGTCAACTCTATTCAAGACTGGGTTCAGTAACCTGCAAAAGAAAAATGTGATAAGCTCATAAAGAAGAGATAAACAGCTTCAGTAAATAAAGTATTTTTCTTAATAAATTGTCTACCTATATTCCTCTGCATTCTTATCAACTTGAAATTCAGGGTTTTCAAAGAGAGCTTTAAATCTGTTATCCTGAAGTAAATTAGTCTCCGTCTTACTCTTCTTCTTGCTTGGTTCCTCATCCATTAGCTTCAAAGCCAGATCTTTGTTAACTTTAGGTAATTTCTGTGGAAAAAAAAAAAGTTTTGTCAGATTTTGAATATTCTTAAAACAGTTGGGTTGAGCATAAATGCATAGCAAAACTATCAATTTTCACAGCAACACTTTAACAGGCACCTGCAAAACAACTCTGTTGGCACGTTCTTCCTCAATCTTCTCCTTAATCTTTTTCTTCCTGTACTGCTCAAACTCGAATGGATCAGCAACATTCTTGGCCTTCTTGTACAACCTTATGTCCATGAAGTATCCATGCATATAAGCCCTCAATAAATTGGTTCCTACAAAGCAGAAATTGAGCTATAGATTAGTTTGTACAGAATTGATAAATTTTCAAACTATATGCCAAATATGCCAACACATACCAATAAGGTGATCCAAACCAAGATCCTCTAATTCGCGTTTAGTGACAAACTTATAATCGTCATACATAGTTTCAGTTTTACTTTCTTCCATTTCTTCTGTAAGATTATCCAGAAAACTACACCATCTTGGTGCGGGTCCTAAGCTCTAAAACAATTGAAGAGGATTTTTGTTTTTTATTATTATCATAAAGCTAATTTTGGCTTCCTATACCTTCCACAAAAAACTGATACTTACAGGGATATAATAGGTTTGCATTTTCGGGCTTTCAGTAGCCAGGAAGAACATACCAGAATTTGGAACAAGACAGAGATCATTAAACTGGGATGTAGCTTCAACTGAAGTAAAAATTTTACCCTGCAATAAAACCAAATTATTAGTAAAAGAAATGATGTGTCTATATATAATGTCAATAATGTGAGAGGGATTTAACACATCTTACATTATTTCGGTCCCAAATTTTAACCACTGAGCTATCCATAGATAGAACAAGTTCTTGCTGTTGATGGAAAGCTATATGCTTGATAGGCAAATTGTACATATGATCTTTTACATAGAAAGGTTTATTTGACCGAATGTCATAGAGTAAAATTTGACCAGTAGCTGTGCCCACACCCATAGTCAATCCGCCATTGAAAGACAAATGAGTTACAGAAGGAAATGTCTCCAGCCTAATTTAAAAATAAGATGAAAGGAAATCATTAAAATTTGCTTGTAAAACATAGAGGGTAAACAGTATCAAAGTGCTATTCTATTTTTACTTGTTTTCCGCGACAACATCCAGAGCACAGTCCAATAGGCCAACTCTAGATCTAGACCTGGGATCCCATGCTTCCACTTTCCCTTCTTTTGTGCCACAGAGTAGAAGGTGATGTACAGGATTAATACCACAACACATAATGTCTGATGCTTCAGAGGTGTAGGGACTTAAAAACTGCCCTCTTTCTAAATTTAATCTGTAGATTTGTGGGCTATTTAGAGGGGAAAAAATAAGTCAATTAAATAAAGAATCACAGTTGACACACCTGCATAAAAGCTCATCATACAACTCACCTAGAACCAACTAAATATAAATCACAGGAGGGATAATGATACTTCATATCATGACCAAATTTTGGAATTCTGAGTCTGTAATATCTTCCTGGTCCTGAATGAATTTCTACATAGCGATCACATTGAAGAAAAACCATCTGCACAGTACAAAAAAGAAACTAGTACGCACATCAAAAATTTGTGTGAAAAAATGAGTCCTAGTATTTATTACCTTGGTAAAATCTTCTGAAAGTATTTCGAAAGTAACCACCTCCGAGTCAAAGCACCTCTCAAACTTCATTGAGAGGTTGTTCACATCGAAGCATTTCACCCGAGGTTTGTAAATACCTGTCGCCATCACATACTGCCCGTCCTTGGATAGACGTACTGATGTACTAACTCCAGGCATGTCAAAGTCTTGTATAAGTTCGATGCGCCGGCGTATGTCTGCAAGAATACAATACATTGATGAACGAAATCACATCAACAAAAGATCAAATTGTGCAGATAGCGCAGAAATCAGATCACAACATTAATTGAAACATACCAACATTTTTCTTTTGTAAACTTCTTCTTTTTCTATCAGAGAGCCACTAAAAAGAGCAGGATTTTAAAAGTAAGTTCGTGTTTCAAGCGCAATCCAGTGAGAAAAAATAAGTTTTTAAATTCATGTGTGACACTTTTTAACTTACCTCTGGCAGTGACTTTCCTGCGCTAAGGTTGTAGATTTTAACATTATTTGGATCAGACACTTGCATTATTACACAATATATAGGTTACTTAGTATTACAAAGGAAAACTGCACACAAACGTAACAATTTATTCAATTCGCAAATAAGTATAACCCTGCCTAGGGCATGGGTTGTCTGCACGTTTGCATCACGGAGTAACATAGATGGAGCCTCGGCTATGCAAACCGGAAACGTTCCGAATCAGGTCCGGGGCTCAGAGTTTTGGACACTGACCGCCAGGGGCGCCCGTATCGCTATGGCTCGAGATCCATGCTGTTGTCTGCTTGTTTGTAGCTTAGTTGTGAAACATGTGTTAGGAGAGAGAAGCTACCTAGAAGTGAGATTTAAAATAAAGAAGCAGGAAAACTGACGAGAGACCAATATTAATTAATAGATTTCATCCTTGAATTTAGATACATAGGTACTTATGTACTCACAATGACTTAGTTTCAACTCTCTAAATTTA